TGTCGGCCATGCTGCTCCCTGGCGTGAAGAGGTTGTCGCGGTACTCCTGCCGCTTGAACTCTCGCGCGACGTACCTTGACATTGCGATCCTGCCCCCGAGGTTCGCGTCCCGCTTGTAGACGTGGTCCCAGCGGGCGCTGATCCTCTTGCCGACGGCCTCGCTCCGCCTGACAAGCTTGCCCACCCCGTGCTGCTTCAGGCCGTCGAGGGCCCGTCTGGTGGAAGCTTCGATCAACTGCGAATCCGACGCATCGTGGGGATCAGGGACATCCATGTCCCGGAGGATCTGCAGGAAGTCAGGCAGAACGTCGTCGCGGTGCTCAGCTGCTACTCCGCTAACTCGGGACCTCGCAAGGGTGCCGCGGTTGTCGCCCTCCTTCGCAGGTCGCTTCGGCGAGCGGCCCATCGGGGTTGACTGCGGAGCCGCGCTCGCTGGTGCTGCAGCCCGCGGCGTCATGGGGGTGTCGTCCCCAATGCCTCCCGCAGCCGATGTCTGTGTCGCTGGCCCCGCCTGCCTGTCCCCAGCAGGCTCCTCGGCGCCGCCCGCCGCGTCGGACGGGGGCGCCGCCATGGACTGGGCTGCGGCGGTCGGGTCTGGCTGTGCCTCAGCTGCCTCTTGCGCCGCCAGATCGGCGTCCGCTGCGGCAAGGGGCGTGGCGATCGGCTCGATCCCGCGCGGGGCCGCTCTGCCCTCGGCGCGGGGCCGCTCTGCCCTCGGCGCTGCCATGGCATGTGCGTGATCGCCGCCACGGCGGTGCGATTGAACCTCCGCTCCTCGGGCAGCCTCTTGACGGCCCTCGTCGTGACTGGCTCACCCGTCTCGAGGGCGCATATGTGCTCGTCGGTGTCGTAGCTCTCCCCTGGCCAGGCCGCCCTCGCGAAGCCCATGCCGCCCTTGTGGTGCACCTTGCCGCTCGCCCTGCGATTCTTGCCCCTGGGTAGGCGCGCCACGACGGACTCCTCTGGGGTGGCCATTTCCCTGGTGCATGCGTGGCCGTAGAGGTCCTCATGTGCGGTGCGACCGCTCGCCTTGACCCTCAGGTTGGTGCATGCCCAGCCTGCGTGGCGCTGCAGCCACTTGTGCATGGCCGTCCCTGGGCGGACCCTGGCCCCCAGTCGTGCCTCCAGCGCGCTCCTGCTCGTGCGGAGTGCGCCTGGATGATGCCGTTGGCGTTCTCGGAGGGGTTCGACTGGGAGCTGAACGTGGGGGCAGGTCTCACGACCGCGCGGTTGGGCTGCTCTGCCTCGACCTTGTTGGCCAGGTCCATCATGACATCCTCGTGGTCTGGCCTTAAGATGACCTTCTGATGGAAAAGGCTCATGATGAACGCCACCGCGGCTGCCACCGTGTAGGGATCAGCGCGTCGGTCAGGCTTCGGGGCACTTCTCATGGCGCCCGCGTCGGCATCCGCGACCACCAGTACCACTTCCTCGTCCTGTCTCTGGCCATCCTCGGTGCGGGGGCCCGCCTCCGTGTCGTCGGCCGCCTCGCCCTTGAAGAGCGCCAGGTCGAGCCCGATCGCGGGGGGGCGCTCCGCCTCCGCGTCGAGCAGCTCGTGGGGCCTGTCACGCCCCCGTCCCATCTGGCAATGCTCGCGCCAGCGCCGCGGTGGGCAGTGCTGGTTCTCCTCATGGCGCTGTCTCTTCTCTGGCGTCGGCTCGCGGACGTCGGGGAACGTGGTCGGCTCCAGCACTTGCCCCGTCTCCGCCTGACGCCTCATCTCCTCGAGCCTTAGCTCGCGGTAGTCATCCGTCGCCACCCTCACCTTGCGTCTGCCCTCGTACTCGACGAGCCGTGCCCAGCGCTGAGCCTTGGTCCCGTAGTGCGGAGCGTAGAACTCCTTGAGGCGCCTCTGCGTGGCGTCGATCCTCGAGCTCGGCCCAAGCCCCTCGAGGTATGACCGCCCAGGCGGCTGTGCCGCCGCAGGTGCCTCCCGGCCCTGCGCGGGCGCCGCCGCCTCCTGCGCCCGAGGTGGCGCAGCTCCTGCATCTGGTGGTGCTGCGTCACGTGGCCCTCGAGCTTCCGGGCGCGGCGGAGGGCCCTCTCCTCGCGCCGTCCCCCGCGGAGCTCCAGCGGCGCCTGCAGCGGCGACCCTGGCGGGGCAGGCTGCGAGCTTGGCTTCGCCTGTGGTGTCGTGGATCCGCGCCGCGAAATAGAACGTGTTGCCCACTGGCCTCATGTCCGCCCGCTCGCCCGTCCCGAGGTTCACGGCGTGCGGGCCACTTTCCCCAGGGACAAACCTGAACTGCTTGCGCGCCAGCTTCCCGAGGCTGAGCGCCGCGTCCTGAGGGGCGAGGTCGTTGCCCACTCTGAGGTTCCCCAAGCATGGCTGGCGACCCTTCTCGCCGCCGACGACCGTCGGGATCCTACGGGGCCCCTCGGTGCCAAGCCCCTGGCCGCTCACCGTGGTGAGCTTGGGCGCCGTGGGGTCCTCCTGAACTGTCGGGCGCTGTGCTCCGAACGCCTGGCCGCAGAGGTGTTCGTCGCTGCCGCTGTCTGCGAGGATGAGCCCTCCGCGCTCCTCCATGCGGCGGCCCCCGACCGAGCTCCTGACTCCAAAGACCCGGCCGACCTCGTCGCCGTTGGAGCCCGCGGCCACCGCGCTCGCGGTCCTCTGGCCCTCGGCGCCCGCAGGGGCCTGCTGGGCTGCGGCCGCCTTCGAGGGCGCTGCCGTCGGCGCCCGAGGCTTGCCGGCCGCCTTGTGCCAGCAGTCCTTCTCCTTGTGCCCCTGCTTCTGGCGCCAGTCGCAGGTTCCCTCGAACTTGGCGGGTGCGCTGCCCTTGGGCTTGTCATTCTTGGTCCCTTGCTTGCTGCAGTTTCCGCTCTTGTCGCCCTTGCTGCCCGTTTTGTCACCCTTGCCGCCGCCCGGCTTGTCGCCCTTGCGCTTTGGCCAAGGCTGTTGCGGCAGGGCATGGCCCGAAATCGCGCCGATCTCCATCGGCGCCACGCCTTGGTCCACCGTGCCGCTAGCTGCGAAGACCTGCCCAGACGCCATCCACTCTCTCAGGTGGGTCCGCATCGCCATGTGCGAGACCTTGGCGGCCGTCGGAACGTTGCGCAGCGCGGTCTTGTACGGCTCAGGTCTATGGGCGAGCAGCGTGGCAATGCGAAACTGATCGCCGAAGTCCTTCCCCGCCTGCGTGACGTACCTCGCCACGTCGTTGTCCCAATCAACGAGCTGGTCGGCGAACGGCTTCTGGTCGTCCCACCTGGGGTTGAGCAGGCCGCTGAGCATGGCTGCGAACCTGTTGCCCACCCCAGGCTCGTAATAATTCTTGATCGCTCGTCAGGCAACAAAGCCCTCGTGCCTGCCAGCGAGCGTGACCATCGCCAGCGCCTTGCGCTGGGTCTTGGTGATCAGCATGGCATGCATCAGCTTGCTCGTCGCTGCCGCCCGCTCGCCCATGCTGACGTCGTCGACCGCGAGCGCTGGCTGGGCCTCAACATTGTCGATGAGGTCATCCCAGCCCATCAGTGCGAAGAACGCATGCGCTTTGATGGACCAGCTGGGCCATTCCTCATCCCTACCACTGAACTCTGGCAGCTTGATGTCGCATCTGCAATCCACCAGCTGCTCTCTGGGCGCCGCTGCCATGGGCAGCGCACGTCCTCAGTCTTCCCGTGGATCTGAGCTGCGTAGTTCACCACAGAACCACGCTCTCCGCTACCATGGCGGAACTTACGCGGAAGCGTGGGTAAAGCGTATCTTGGGGCTCTTTTCCTCCAGCGCAGCTCGAGCAAAAGGGCCTGCGGGAAAGTCACGAATTCATGGCGTCCGAATCGCACAAGATCCCGAGCATATTCTGGAAGCCACCGAAGGGTCATCCAACCTGGCAACAGGCAGCGGGTGACACGTGTCACCCCCGAGGGCCGCACGAGAAATTGCAACCGTGTCGTTGCACCCTCCATGGAAGGGGGGTGCAACGAAAAGCCGAGCGACGACGACGACGAACGCCGACGAACGACGACGAACGACGACGACGACGACGAACGACGACAACGACGACAGCGGCGACGACGACGACGACGACCCACCGACGAAACCACGGATGCCACAACGGGGGGGGGGCGGTTGGCGAGTGGATGGATGCAGAAATAAAATGTTCAACATAAATCGCATTCCGCATTCTTGATGGCCCGCGGAGGGAGGTTGGGTGTCGAATGCAATGCCGCTGACCAATGCCAAAAAACATTCCGCAACTTACTGGCCCGGCGGAAGGAGGATGGACGTCGAAAAATATGCCGGAATGTTTCCCCGCGAGACGCGCCGGCCGCAGGATGGGTGGGTGGGTACAACACAGAACCAAGGGATTTCCTCCACGAGTTCGCGGGGGTGGGGATGGGGGACATTGAGCCGCTTGCCTCCCTTATTGGTAATGGTGGTGATGATGATGTTGTTGATGATGATAAGCATGATGGTGATGGCATCGATTCAAGTTAACACCACGCGATGGTGAGGTTTATTTATATATATATATATGTATGTATGTATGTATGTATGTATGTTTGTATGTATGTATGTATGTATGTGTGTGTGTGTGCGTGTGTGTGTGTGTGTGTGTGTGTTTGTGGGTTCCTGTACGGGGTGTCCAGAAAACCATAACCCCAGTCAAAAACATAATCGTTAATAATCTCGACCAGGGCACTGGACCCCATCTTTCTGTGGCACTTCTCCTGCCGGATCGACTCCCGAGGGCCCCGGGGTCAGAAACCAGGCGAAAACCCTGGTGTGAAAAATTGCGGGCAGAAGAGGCGTGCGAGGAGGGAGGAGGGATAAAAGGAGAGGGAGGAGGAACGTGCACGGCTTCTGAACGTGTGCTCTGCGAGGGTCGCCAAGCATCCACCAAGATTGATCCTGGGCCCGTAGTGGCATCGCCAGGATCGGCGTTGGTGGATGCTTGGCGAGCCGCGAACTCCTCGTATCGCAGCGCGCCGCCGATCTTGCTGACGCTTTCTGTCGGTCCTCCAAGAACACTCAGCCTCCCAAAGCAACCCGGACCTTCATCTGCTCGTCGGAAAATCTCTCGTCCAAAGGCAACGCAAGGATGTACATGAGCGGCAGTCCTGCACCGGCCATCGCAGTATCCAGGAGCTCCGGTTGGCGCACTACTCTTCGCCCTCCCTGCTGCTCGATCATCCTGGTCCGTCTCCTTCAACGTTCCTCCTCCTCCTCCTCCCCCTCTTCCTCATCACCATAAGCACGCTCCTCCTCCTCCTCCTCCACCTCCTCCCCCAGGAAACAAAACCCCCTATGCGCGAGTGCGGTCAGCCGACGAGCCGCATCGAGATGCCGCGCGCGCGGGGATCGAGCTGCGGACGAGGCTGAAGATATGAACGTAGACGGGGGGGGCGTCAACTGACCACGCCATTGGTCCCAGCAAGGCCGATCTTGCGACCAGTTCGGATCGGTGACGTTCGGGCGCTGCTAGACCAAGGTGCGATACATGGGGGGGGAGAAGCGTGCACCTTCCGTGCCCCTTGGGGGCCTTTTCTGGGCACGAGAGCTGCACCTTCCTTCCCCCCCATCGCCGCCCCCAATGCGCAACGCCGTGACGTGGTCGGTTGACGTCCCCGAGGAAGAGAAGGGGATGCACCGGCTTAAAGGCCCGCACAAAAAAAGGTAGGGGAAAGGGGGCAGCTTCTTACTAACCCGTTACGAAAGCTCTTCATCTTGAGCACTGACGACTAGGGCGTCTCTGAGTGGCCCCCCCCCTTCCCCCCGTAGACTCCTCGCACGGCAGTCTTCGGCCTGGCTTGGCGGGAGAGATTTCCGGGGTTCTCTTTGGTAGCATTAATAATATATAACCAGTTCAGGATAAAATCTCTCCCCCGTAATTTCACGAGGCAGAAATCACTCCCGGTCATTTCCAGGCAACTCTGAATCCCTCCCCGTATGAAGCCACAAGGAAGAATCACTCCCATACCACTTCTCACCACAGCGCCCACACATGTCAATTTTAGCCAAGATGAATTAACTTTCGTAGCGGGGATGTAGAAGGATCCTGCTTCTTGGAAGGCGGCGCCCGCCCTATTTCTACAGGCAAGGCCCGCGCCTTTTAAGAAGCAGGGGTGCTTTTAATGAGCCTCCCCCCCTCCCCCGACCCCCCTCTGCACGTGGCTGGTCTGCCTCGAAGGCTGAAAAATGTCCACATCCGCCACTGCTGGGGAGGTCCTCTAGACTCTAGATCCCGCGGCGCGACTCCGAGGCGGTGGATATGGATGTGTTCTGTCGGTGGCAAGGAGTCCCCCCTCTGGCTGGAGGTGGAGAGCGGAAGGGAGGAATATTGGAGGCCTAGAAATGGGCACCAACACCAACACGGTGTGTTGTCCCCACAAAGGCAGAAGATGGTCCTAGATTTCGGTGTTGGTGGCAATATTTCGGCCACCTTGGAAACCAGAATTAGTACCACCATCACCGAGATCGGGATCTTCTTCCCTCGGTAGAGGAACACCGCCGATCTTGGTGTTGGTGTCAACCTCTAGGCCTGCGAGAAGAGAGGGAAACGTGAAACGGAAACGTGAGGCGGAAAGTCCGGGGAGGGTCGAAAGTGGGGGCGGCCCTGACCATGGATCCGCTGTATTTGGGGCGATTTCGGAAGCAGTGCGGACATTGCCGCCCTACTTTTCAAACTCCTGCGATCCCGAGTTCTGCTCTGCCGTCGCTGTTTCCGCCATGCATTCACGGAAACGTCCGCCCAACTTTTCTGAGGCGAAACTGTCTGCCCTGCTTTTCCACACCGTTTGGGGTACAATTCTGACACGCGCAATTAAATCGGACAGTGCTAGAAAGAACGGTGGATCCGGGGTCAGGGGGGGCTAAAATTCTTGACGCTTCGCTATCAAGTTACGTATATCTTGCGGCAGCTTGCTGCACCCCCCCTCTCCACGGCAAGGCGCGCTCTGAGGGTTGCAGGCCGGCCACGGTGTGGGGCGGCGCCGAATGTGCGGCCTGGTGGATGTCCTCCACTGCGCCTCCGGGGCTCGCCCGCGGCGGCTGCAGTAGCCAGATCGGGTGGCCAGGCGGGCAGGCTGCTCTGACGACCCCCCACCCACGGTTCGCACCATTCAGACGCGGCTGGCATTGGTGGGCCCCTCCGCAGCAGGTTGTCACTGTGGTACATGTCGCACCCTGCGGGCTGCAGGAGCCTTCCCACAGCCGGTCGACACTGTGACTTCGGAAGGACGGCGGTTTCCTCCGAGGTGTGGGTGATTGTGATGGGTCGCCTTGCCAGTGTGATGCCTCGCCCGCGTTTTTCGGCTGTTCCGCCGGTGCCGACTCGTCCGTCAGTCATGGCCAGCCCCAACAGCTCTGAGGTGGTTCCGTTGGCCGCGCGCTGAGAGGTCCAGCCTTCAGCTCCGACGGCCTTTGTTTTCCACCACTAGCAGCTGGTCCCCCAGGCTGGTGCATAGTTGTCTGTCTGGGTAGATGCTCGGAGCTTGGCGCCGCAAGGACGACTCCCTCCGTAGCACTCGCACCTCTGTGCGCTAGGTGCGTCACTACGAATGTGGAGCATTTTGCTCAGTGCACGTGCATCGCACGCCTTGCGTGCAATTTGCCTGTACCGCCGTCCCGGACACGCATGTTGCCGCCAGACCGTTGTCGCGCGGCCGCCGACCAAAAAATATCCCCGCCTCTCATTCGATCGTTGCCCTTGCTCGGGACTGGTGGGCCACGCTGGATACGGGCGTGGCGTTTCGGAGTGGTTCAGCCTTCCGTCGTACGCTGTGCTTCCGTCCTGGCTCCGTCCCAGCCGACCAGGCAAGTCTACGCCGTCGACACGGCCCCGGCCCAGCCTACCTGGCTGGTCTACGCCGTCGACACGGTCCTGGCCCTTAGCGCCCCCTGGCGACTCGAGCAGCTTTTACCTCGCCTTTCCCCACCACCGTGTCTGTGAGGATCGCACGTGCAGGTCATCCCACCTGTCCCAACATGCACCTCCACCTGAGTGGTCTGACGCCACAGCGCGTGACACAGAATTCCCTGGCATTTTTCCGCAGGGCTGCACGTTGCCCGAGCTTCCCTGGGCGTTCCAGTTCAGCCAGCCAGCCCCCCGCTGCCGCTGCCCCAGCTGCTGCTTTTGTGAGCTGGCTCGGCCGGCTGGTGCTGCGCCCTGCAGCTAATTAGGTTTGCCCGTCGGCCCGGAGTCCCTGTTCGCCGCCTGCGCTCTCGCTGGTGGCCGCAACCCAAAAAGTATCCCCGCCTCTTATGCCCGTGCCCCGGACCTCTCCTTCGGCGACTGCGTGACCGCGTCCGCCCGCGACGAAAAAAAAGTATCCCCGCCAAGGAATTACCTGCACGCTGGCAGTACAGCTCAGTTTCAGCTGCCCCCTTCCACTCGCCGGTCCGCCGCTGAGGTGCTGCGTGAGGCCCCGCTTAGCCGCTTTAGGTGAGGTGGCCCTCCGTTGCTTTAGGTGAATTTGTCGTTGCGTGCCCCGCTTTGACTGGACTCGCCGCCGGCGTGCTCGCCCGCGGCCGCTGACAAAAAAGTATCCCCGCCAGCCCATCCAGGAACTATCAGCAGGGGAGTTGGTAAATCAAGGACGGCTGGAAGCATGCAGTTGCGCGGCCGTCTTCAGAAAAAAATATCCCGGCAAAGCAACCTAACAGCGATGTGTAGGAGCATATCTGGAAGCATTCCCCTTAAGATTCAGATGAGAATCCAGTTGTAGAATTCTGCTGTTCTCGCAGTCGTAGTCGCATTCGCGATGACAGTCGCAGTGGCCTGCATCAGCCTCAGCCTCAGCCTGCCTCAGCTCAGCCTCAGCCTCAGCCTCAGCCTCAGCCTCAGCCTCAGCCTGCCTCAGCCTCAGCCTCAGCATCAGCCTCAGCCTCAGCCTGCCTCAGCCTCAGCCTCAGCCTCAGCCTCAGCCTCAGCCTCAGCCTCAGCCTCAGCCTCCTGCCTCAGCCTCAGCCTGCCTCAGCCTGCCTCAGCCTCAGCCTTCAGCCTCAGCCTCAGCCTCAGCCTCAGCCTCAGCCTCAGCCTCAGCTCCTGCCTCCTCAGCAGCTCAGCCTAGCCTGCCTCAGCCTCAGCCTCAGCCTTCAGCCTCAGCCTCAGCCTCAGCCTCAGGCCTCAGCCTCAGCCTCAGCCTGCATCAGCCTCAGCCTCAGCCTCAGCCTGCCTCAGCCTCAGCCTGCCTCAGCCTCAGCCTCAGCCTGCCTCTGCCTCAGCCTGCTTCAGCCTCAGCCTCAATCTGCCTTCAGCCTCGGCCTCAGCCTCATCCTGCCTCAGCCTCAGCCTGCATCAGCCTCAGCCTCAGCCTCAGCCTGCCTCAGCCTCAGCCTGCCTCAGCCTTAGCCTCAGCCTGCCTCAGCCTCAGCCTCAGCCTGCTTCAGCCTCAGCCTCAGTCTGCCTTTCAGCCTCGGCCTCAGCCTCAGCCTGCCTCAGCATCAGCCTGCCTCAGCCCAGCCTCAGCCTGCCTCAGCCTCATCCTGCCTCAGCTCAGCCTCAGCCTCAGCCTGCTTCAGCCTCAGCCTCAGTCTGCCTTCAGCCTCGGCCTCAGCCTCAGCCTGCCTCAGCCTCAGCCTGCCTCAGCCTCAGCCTCAGCCTCAGCCTGCCTCAGCCTCAGCCTCAGCCTCAGCCTGCCTCAGCCTCAGCCTGCCTCAGCCTCAGCCTCAGCCTGCTTCAGCCTCAGCCTCAGTCTGCCTTCAGCCTCGGCCTCAGCCTCAGCCTGCCTCAGCCTCAGCCTGCTCAGCCTCAGCCTCAGCCTGCCTCAGCATTCAAAATGTGGCCCGGGAATGGAATTCTGGGAACTCGAAAAACACGAAGTGGCCTACAGTTGGCTCTGGGCATTCAAAATCATGCCCAGGAATGGAGTTCTGGGAACTCGAAGACCACGAAGTGGCCTACAGCTGGCTCCGGGCATTCAAAATGTGGCCCAAGAATGCAGTTCTGGGAACTCGAAGACCACGAAATGGCCTACAGTTGGCTCCGGGCATTCAAAATGTGGCCCGGGAATGGAGTTCTGGGAACTCGAAGACCACGAATTGGCCTACAGTTGGCTCCGGGCATTCAGAATGTGGCCCGGGAGTGGAGTTCTGGGACCTCGAAGACCACGAAGTGTGT